ATGAGGATAGCTCTGCCCAGCAACTGATGTGACTACGCCCATATCATGTAACTAACCAATATAAGAAAAGGAGACCAGAAGAATCTTTGGAAAAAAACAGGCTCTGATTGGACACTCAGAATGTGTTCTCTGCAGCTGGTGAGCAGTGTTGGAAATACAGGCAGTTTAGCATTGGCTGTGATATAGTGTGGCAGTTTTCTGGATGGGCCTGTGGCGTATCTTACTGAGGCATGGAAACGTGTATTTTTAATGTGTTTTTTCTGTAGTCGTGCGGGTGTATGGTGAGTCCCCCACCCCCCCCGCTCACGATATCTCTATTTAGAAATAGGATGAACACACTTGACTTCATACCAGGTCTTTGATGAATAAATTTGACTTGGAGGATATCTTTTAACTTTCCTAAACAAAAGGGGTCCCCAGTAACAGATGGATGGATACAAGAGTATAGAGTCAAGTGACCCACCTTTCATTAACTGCAGTGCCGCCCCCGGCAGAAAAGAGTAAGTAGAACAACTTACTGTATATTATAACACATGCATGCATACATATTAGCCCAAATCATTTATCTCTGGAACATTTCAAAAGACTAATTTTTTTTTAGCATTTCAAGAAATGCCGGGAAAATCTCTCAATTTCGGGTTTCAGAACAAATTTATGAGAGATTGCATCATGTGCAGCCCGAAAAAATCTTTCCATTCTGGGCATGGGAACTGATTTTCTGGGAGTTCTGAGAGACTGCATTATGCATGCTGGGTACATGAGTGGGCTAGCTGCTTGGGTGACTTAGGCCAAGGCAGGACCTTACAGGGGGTGCAGTGGATGTGATGAACCTAGGCCACAAATGAAAGGGGCCCCAAATCCCAACCATGAAGGCCCTTTAGGGCTCTTAGTCCAGGCCACGGGACTGAGGTACAATTTTAAATTTTTTACACAAAATTTTCATAAAGTATTTAAACACAGGAATACTAACTTACCATGAATGTTAAATTTTGAAATTATGAATATACATTAGTGGATTTTTGCATGCTACTCTAAACTTTTATCAATTAAATTATGTTATTACAGTACAAAATCCACTCTGCTAAATCTATCATACAGGGGATGCTGGTGGTAGAGTGGTACCGCTCTTGCCTTCGCAAGCGAGATGTCGCGGGTTCGATTCCTGGGCCGGTGGAAGTTGTTTGGACATACTTCCTAGCCCCCATTAGTCCCTGTTCACCTAGCAGTAAAGTAGGTACCTGGTGTAAATCAAAAGTTGCGAATTCGTATTCAGGGACAAGTTGTTGGAGCTTCCAATAACTTGACGACATAAACCATTGACTATTCAGGCTTCTATGCCCTTGACTCTTGAGGCTTCTACGCCCTTAACTCATGGGACATAAAGGCAAGCATGAACTTAGCATGGTTCCCTGTTGGGCACTGTAAACGCTTCTACGCTTCATCTTACACAAGGATGTAAGGGAGTGCCCGATACAAAAAAAAAAAAAAAAATTTATCGAACACAATAATGTCCTGTTTCCCTTCCTATTCCATACTGTACAACAGTAACACTCACACACACCATACAACAGTAACACTCACACACACCACACAACAGTAACATTCACACACAACATACAACAGTAACACTCACACACACACCATACAACAGTAACACTCACACACAACATACAACAGTAACACTCACACACAACATACAACAGTAACATTCACACACAACATACAACAGTAACATTCACACACAACATACAACAGTAACACTCACACACACCATACAACAGTAACACTCACACACACCATACAACAGTAACATTCACACACAACATACAACAGTAACACTCACACACAACATACAACAGTAACACTCCACACACACCATACAACAGTAACACTCACACACACCATACAACAGTAACATTCACACACAACATACAAACAGTAACACTCACACACAACATACAACAGTAACACTCACACACACCATACAACAGTAACACTCACACACACCATACAACAGTAACATTCACACACAACATACAACAGTAACACTCACACACACACCAAACAACATTAACACACAACATACAATAGTAACACTCACACACACAAAACAACATTAACATACACCTTACAACAGAAACACTCACACATCCTAAAAATGTCCAAAGACGCAGCAGCAGGTGAAGACAATATACCAATGAGCATCTTTAAGAAAGTAGCCCACTTATTACTACCTGTTCTTGTACACATTTGTAACTCCTGCTTCACTAGTGGTGTCTTTCCTGATAAACTGAAAATTTTTAAAGTTCACCCGGCATATAAAAAAATCTGGGGACAAAGGTCTCTTCAAGAATTACCGCCCCATATCAGTCCTCCCAGCCTTGACTAAGATACTGGGAAAGCTAGCATGTAATAGACTAAATTCCTTCTGCAATGCAAATAACATCTTTACAGACTCCCAGTTTGGATTTAGAGCTTGAAGGTTGACTGAGAGTGCTCTGCTGTCCTTTACTAATGACATCTTAAATTCCTTTGATGACAGTCAGTTCACAGTCGGTATATTCTTGGACCTCTCTAAAGCCTTCGATACTGTCGACCATACCATCCTCCTTTGAAAGCTTGAACATTACAGCGTTAGGGGCCTGTCCCACAATTGGTTTACCTCATATCTGTCCAACAGGATGCAGTATGTCTGCTATAATACTCACCAATCTGACTCCTCGCCAATCTTGTATGGCGTCCCCCAAGGTTCCATTCTCGGTCCAGTACTGTTTTTGTTGTACATAAAAGACATAGTCCACGCCAGCACACTCATAAAATACAACTTATTTGCAGATGATAGTTATCTCTATGCCAGTAACTCAGACCTCCATTCCTTGATGAGAACTATGAACACTGAATTGACTAAAGTCAGGACCTGGGTAATACGTAATAAACTGACCGTAAACCTTGAGAAAACCCACTACACAATCTTTCAGAAGGAAAAGCTTACCCCCAGACTTAGACCCCCTGTACCTTGGTAATACAGTCCTCAAACACGAACAAAATACTAAATTCCTCGGAGTTATTATTGATGAGAAACTTAACTGGAGAAACCACATATAAGCCATTCACAGTAAAGTCAATAAACAGTGCGGTATCATGTATCACACTCGACAGTCACTTATTCTCACAGCAATGAAAGAAATCATAAGTATCATGATCTTGTTTACTAACACCTGATACACTACACTGTCACACACCATGGGGGGCCTCTGGCTCTTCAAAAACACAATCTCTGGTTACTGCACAAAAGAGAGTTGTATGGACAATGACCTACTTGAAAAAAAAAACAGATCACACAAACGAAAAATTTGCTATATTGAAAATTTTAAAATTCGAAGATATTAACACCTACTGCTGTGCCCTCTTTGTTTACAAATCTACCAATCACTTGCTTGACATTAATTATTTCCAGCTCCAGAATAATCAGAGATACAATTTTAGGCATCCAGAGCTACTAAGACCACCCTCCATGTGTCCTCTCAGTCCCAGACCTCCATAAAATATCATGGTGTGAAGGTGTGGAACAACTTACCCCCCACCCATTCGAGCAAAGACTACGCTCCTGTAGTGGACGTCTCCCCTATCGCATTCCAATGTGCCGTCTTCCCTAGCAACCAAGCGTATCCGCATTCCAATGCCCGCGGTATCTTAGCAACGGAACTAGTCACCGGCTACTTCTCGGGTTTTCCCACCATGACTCATAGCTGCTGCTGGGTATATAAGCTCTGTCTCTCCATTGAGATTCATTCTGACCATTCTTCTTGAACAAGCAACACCTCCTCCTCTGCCGCTGCCTGGCGGCCTTCGCTTCTCCTCGCCTGCCTGGCGGCCCTCGCTCCCGCCAGCGAGCATGGCGACCCACCAGCTGTCCTTCCCTGAGCTTCCTCACCAACCAACTCTCATTCTGCCCATCTTCCTGAACAAGCAACACCTCCTCCAGCAAGCTCCACGCTGTTAACATTCATTCAACCAGGAGGCCAGCAACAGGCAACATCTTCTCTAGCGAAGCTCCTGCACATCTACCTCCTACAACACGCTACTCACCGAACGTCTTCTACTGAGCAACCCCTCGCCAGACGGCACCTCCAGCACCAGACTGTCTATCATATAACTTATATATTATACAAGAAAACCACATTAGAGTTTCCTTCCATCCTGAGTGCTAGACAACATTAATATCTCGATACCCCTACACTCCCTTCCTTTAAATCATCTCTTAAAAAATACCTATTGTCAAAGTATTAATATTTCTTGTAATACCTACTACATTTACATTACCTGCTTTTATTGTACCATCAAAACCGTTTTATCAGAAATTATCATGTAAATTGATAAGTAATTACCATTGCAATAAACATAATTGCCAACAAGACATAATGCTGACAGCTCTGTCCTCTTGTTCAACCTTATTACTGCACAACCCATGTTGTACTGCTCCCCCATTATACAGTAATTATGTTTTTCAATTCCACTGTAATTTATGCATACAGTATATAAATAAATAAATAAAAATTTGAACTAAAAAAAAAAAATAAATAAATAAAATTAATAAATATTGAAGTGATAACCGTGGTAACATTATGAGATGTTCTTATTACCACCATGCTATTGTACTATTCCAGATGATACTAAATGTTACATAATACTTCCTTGAGATAAATATACTGTATAGTACCTGTATATATATCAGGTGCCTCAAAGAGAGCTCAGGTTCTCAACTGGCTCAGCCATGTTAATATTGTTATTATTATCCACTCTGTATCTGTGTTTTTCTGGCTAAATAAAACTGTTTCAATTCAATTCTGTTTCAATTCAACATACAACAAATAGTTTCACTTAACATACAACAGTAATAATATTCATATAAAGCATATATAACATACGTACAGTATATGAACCAACACTATATCAGTTAGCAAGATTACCTTTAAACATAATTTAATAGCATTACTTACAGACATCACACTTGAGGCCAAAGCTCTTAGGTATGTTATTCAGTTTGACAAGCGGAGTGTTGCCTATGTGTCCAAGAATGTTGTCCAGAGTACGCAAGTTCTCATTCCTGTTGGAGATAAACATAATATTGTACAGTACATTGATCTAGAAATAGATTAAACCACAAGTTGCAGTCTTATAATATTACTGTGGTCTCTTAGAATTTGCTATATGCAGGTTGTAATGAATCCTTAGTCGAGATGACTCGGGATTACGGACAATTCCAGTGAATCAGGTATTGGTGATTTCATTGGAGCTCATATAAATCCAAGTGTATTGTATACAGTAAGATCTCATATTTCGTGGGATTTCATTTCGCGTTTTTGAATTTCGCGAGCACTACCTAATGCAACCAAGTCTTATATTTGGCGTAAAATATCGTGAATTTCACGAGATCCAGCCAGCAAGCTGGAATGAAGCAATATTGTGGCGAAGAGAAAGGGAAGAAAGATTGTCAACTAAAGGAGGAGAGTTAATAAGACGAAATGCCTTTGATTCCATCCTATCTAACAGTTGGACAGAAGAGCCACCCCAGATATGAGAGCAGTATTCCAAGTTAGGACGAATGAATTTCTTAAATACTTGAAGCAACTGCTCAGGAGTGCAGTAGCTATGGCATCTGTACAGCATTCGCAACTTTCGGGAGGCAGCTTTAGCAATGTTGAGGATGTGTGACTTCCACGACATATTGGAGGAAATGGCGAGGCCTAGCATATCTACAGTGTTTCAGAATTTGGCAGAATGATAGCATCCTCAAATGTAATTGGTGGGAGATCATCTAATTTAGAAAGTGTAATTGGTAAATACTGAGTATTATTACTATTGAATTTAACCAAGTTTCTACCTCCCCATTCAGAGATGCTGCACAGATCCGTATTGACAAGTAATGATATCAGCTCTAGAACAGAACTAGTTTGAGAGTTAGGAGGAAGGGAAAAATGTGAAGAAGGGTGAAGAGTAGAATCATCAGTGCAAGAATGGATAGAATTAGTTGTAGTGTGAAGTAAATCAGTGATAAAAAGAAGGAAGAGAGTAGATGAAAGAAGAGAACCGTGTGGGAGGGGTGTACAAAATGCTCCAGAAGTCTTTTAATCTTGAATTCATTCTAACTAGAAAGTTAAATCAAGATTGTCTGGAGCAATTGCTTGGGTGCATAACACAGATGCATGGAACCTACGACCATCCAAATGCTGTGAAATTTAAGTTCAGGCTCAAGAAGTTACTTCTGGGATAAGACGTTTCACTAATTTCTGATATTCCTAACACAACTATTGATAGCTTTGATTGCTTATCAAGAAATATTGGTCTTAGTAGGTAGTAGGCAGCTACCAAACAAAGGGAGGTACTACCGCCTGGGAAGGTATTGGAAGCATAATGTGTTATCTAATGGTAGACCCTGCTGCCATATGGCATCACAAAAATTCCAGTCCGATTAAATACCTGAAGCACGGTCCTATGAATAAATGGACTGCTGTCAAAATTGAAAATTTCATTTGAGCATGTACCGAGAGGAGCGAGTAATTACCCAAATGTAGCCATAATGAAGTCAAATGATGAATGTACAAGCGTAAATCGGGCTGTGAATCACTTGATAAGTCAAAAACTTAATTTAATCTGAGTTGTGTTGTGTTAGGTTAGGTTAGGTTAGGTTAGGTTAGGTTAGATTAGATTAGGTTAGGTTAGGTACATGCACTTGATCTATTAACTCAGATTAAATTAAGTTTACCAATTTTTTGTGACTTCGAGACACCAAATACTAGTCGAGGTTAGGTTAGGTTCGGTACATGCACTTGATCTATCAACTCAAATTAAATTAAGTTTTCCAATTTTTTTTTACTTTGTGACACCTAATACTAGTCGAGAAGTGATTGGTAACCCGATTTATTCATGTAGGACCATTATTTGACTTCATTGCGGCTGCATTTGGGTACATTTGGGTAATTAGTCGGACCCCAAAAATTGTGACCAAGTCCCAGGTTGCTGATCTGACTTTCTGCTTCATTTACACGCAATTGCATTTTTCTCAATTGTTTCTCTTACCATTGACAACACAACATACATAAATCATTTCTCGCTTTTGATCTTTTTTTCATTTTTGTATTTATTATTATTATTATTATTATTATTATTATTATTACAGTTACTGTATTATTATCACCATTATTTTATTATTTTATTTTTGTTTGTTTTATCATAAATTTTATTTATTATGACTATTATTTATTATTATAATTATTATTAGTTTATTATTACATTTTCGCCCCCCCCCCCCTACCCGGCCCCGATGTGGGTCAGTGACCTGTGCCCGGGTGGGCTAATCCCCGTGGGAAAAAAAAAATTATAACGGTACACCTTTCAATGACAGAGCTGGCAGTAGAACTCTATGTAACAAATCAATGGTTCAAAGGCTTGGATATTGGCAATGAAGTAGAAAAAGGGTTAAGTGATGAGTTTAATGAAAACCCAGGAGGGTGTATAAACCCTGACAAAAATGATGGTAAAGCAATAGATTTAGTCATAGAAGAGGAAGCTCTTTGGTATGTTGGTCCTACATGAATAAATCGGACTGCTAGTTACTTCGCGACTAGTATTTGGTGTCAGAAAGTCACAAAAAATTGGAAAACTTACTTTAATCTGAGTTAATAGATCGCGTGCATGTACCGACGGAGCGAGGAATTACCCAAATGTAGCCAAATGTAGCCGCAATGAATTCAAATGATGGTCTTATAAGCGTAATTCGGGCTGTGAATCACTTCTCGATTATTAATTGGTGTCATAAAGTAAAAAAAAATTGGTAAACTTAATTTAATCTGAGTTGTGTTGGGTTAGGTTAGATTAGATTAGATTAGGTTAGGTTAGGTACATGCACTTGATCTATTAACTCAGATTAAATTAAGTTTACCAATTTTTTGTGACTTTGTGACACCAACTACTAGTCGAGAAGTGATTGGCAGTCCGATTTATTCATCTAGGACCATTATTTGACTTCATTGCGACAACATTTGGGTACATTTGGGTAATTAGTCGGACCCATCTTTCTCGTCAGAAACGGTCATCCCAACGATTATAAATGAACTCATTTAAAAATACAGTACATCATTAATTCAGGATGAAATTGGACAGATTTGCAACAGGCAATCAGCAGTAATTCTTGAGGAGGGGCGGGGCATCTCTTCTCAACTGGGGAAAAACACACTACAGTATAGTCAAAGACAGATTGTCTTTGCTATAGTTACTGTGGTTCCGGTGATGAACACCAGAGGACCTTAAACTCCCACCATCCACCTGTCAGGTTGGGAAAAGCTGGCTGAGAGTCAGTTTTACTCCTGACACCGACTGCTATGCCTCGGAGCTGCTTCCCCAATTCGCTTGGTGTTGTCTATATATTTATATTTTTTTACTTATTTGGTTGACCTGTATTTAACTTAATAGATAAGTTATTCTTGTTATGGTTGTTGGTACGATATTTAGAATGTTAAATAGGAATTTAAATTCTTACCATTGTATTGACTTGTAATGTTCGAGTGCAAGTTTTCTATGTAAATACATTGGTTTGCGAAGTGCATTTTTCACTCTAGGTTTTCTCCTTCACATTTTAACAACAAATATCCAATTTAAGCCTGTCTAGAACACGTTGTAACAATAAGTGCATTAACATAATTATATTACGGATCGGTATTCTCCCAACGTGACTTACGTCTGTAATACAGATTAAAATCCTCGAAACCGGATCTCCAAAAAATCGGAGGTCAAATTTTGCTTCCACATGCTCAAAAAACTCTTTAGTTGAACCTTTTGTTTTACTGTACTTTTTGAACAACAATAGAGGTCTATAAGCACCCAGTCGAATGTTCATACCCGGAACTGCCAGATACTTGCCCCACTAAAAGTCACAACCACCCCGGATGAAAAAGCTACAGTTTCAGAAAATTTTCAGAACATACTTTTTGTAGTGAGTTCCGAACTCTTGAAATAATCTGCCAGAGTGTGTTGTGAAGACACGCAGTGTAAACGGATTCAAAACCCAAGGCTTGACCAACGCAGGACACAAGTTACATACTGTACATTCTGGAGCCCAGTGGAAAAGATAATAAAGTAACGTATAAGATAATGAATCCACCACTCACTGTTGTACTGGGTTAAGTGTATCTACCACTCACTGCTGTACTGGGTTAAGTGTATCTACCACTCACTGCTGTACTGGGTTAAGTGTATCTACCACTCACTGCTGTACTGGGTTAAGTGTATCTACCACTCACTGCTGTACTGGGTTAAGTGTATCTACCACTCACTGCTGTACTGAGTTAAGTGTATCCACCACTCACTGCTGTACTGGGTTAAGTGTATCTACCACTCACTGATGTACTGAGTTAAGTGTATCTACCACTCACTGCTGTACTGGGTTAAGTGTATCTACCACTCACTGCTGTACTGGGTTAAAAGTATCCACCACTCACTACTGTACTGAGTTAAGTGTATCTACCACTCACTGCTGTACTGGGTTAAGTGTATCTATCACTCACTGCTGTACTGGGTTAAAAGTATCCACCACTCACTACTGTACTGAGTTAAGTGTATCTACCACTCACTGCTGTACTGAGTTAAGTGTATCTACCACTCACTGCTGTACTGAGTTAAGTGTATCTACCACTCACTGCTGTACTGACTTAAGTGTATCTACCACTCACTGCTGTACTGAGTTAAGTGTATCTACCACTCACTGCTGTACTGAGTTAAGTGTATCTACCACTCACTACTGTACTGGGTTAAGTGTATCTACCACTCACTGCTGTACTGAGTTAAGTGTATCCACCACTCACTGCTGTACTGGGTTAAGTGTATCCACCACTCACTGCTGTACTGGGTTAAGTGTATCTACCACTCACTGCTGTACTGGGTTAAGTGTATCTACCACTCACTGCTGTACTGGGTTAAGTGTATCCACCACTCACTGCTGTACTGGGTTAAGTGTATCCACCACTCACTGCTGTACTGAGTTAAGTGTATCTACCACTCACTGCTGTACTGGGTTAAGTGTATCTACCACTCACTGCTGTACTGAGTTAAGTGTATCCACCACTCACTGCTGTACTGGGTTAAGTGTA